GTCCTGGTGGACAAGAATCGGGTGCTCACGGCCACATGCCACCAGAGCAACAAGCCGCTGTGGGCTAGGATTGGGGATGGCCGCCTGCTGCTCCTTCAAGGCGAGCAATGACATAAGACTACTCGCCTGCTCCATCATCTACCCAAGTACCAGCAGGGCTCAGCCCCCATGCTTCCCAGGCACACAGAGGCGCATGACCTCATGCTGCTGAAGCAGGCCAGGTCTGCTGTGCTGGGGCTGGGGTGTCCAGCCTGGAGAGCAGTGCCGGGTTGCCGGCTGGGGTACCTTGGTAAACTGTAACGTGAAGTACAACAAGGGTCAGTGTCCACCAACAACATATGTGCTCGACTAGACCAGGGCCAGAGTGACTCTGGGGCCCTTTGGTTTGCGGTGAGACCCTGCAGGGTATCTTGCATGGGGTACTTACCCCTGTGGCTCCACCCAGCACCCAGCAGTCTTCACCGGGATCTGCAAATACTCCTCAGGGTCCAGAAAACCCTGAGCTCTAACTGATTGAGACCCCCATTGCCTTTTCCTCCTCAATGCCTGCCCTTCCACATCATCGATGAACATCTCTCTTGTTCCCTCCTTCCTGCTCCCCAGACCACACCGGGCCGAAAAGTCGTGGTAACATTTTGTTCTGAGCAGGGAGGAAGCTGGTCACCCAGTCTCTCAGAAAAGTTACCAAACCTGAGTGGGCACGTGGACTCACCCAACTTGATTTCTTCCAATACTCCCTGCTGTGCGGCTTTGAGCGAACCCAAAGGCCCTTTCTGAGCCACAGTTTCCTCACCTGGAAAATGGGTACAATGACATGCCTAGCTCAGCGTTGTGGGGATCCCCCTGGGGGACAGATGGGGTGTGTGAACCGTGATGGTACTGACCATGTGCTAATAAAAAAAAATTAAATAGTGGGTGGCCCCCCGGGGATTACTTTCAGCCAAACCATCCCACCCACTGCCATCGGGTAGATTCCGAATCATTGGGACCTTCTCCAAAGAATAAAATACACACACACACACATACACACACACACACACACACTAGCATGGCCCACGTCTCAAGCAGAAGCAGTCACGGGCAGACTAATATTAATTGTTACTCATTATTACATCCCTGACAGGAGCCCTGGGGTCACAATGGTTACTCACTGGGCTGCTAACCACAAGATCTACTGTTCAAAATCACCAGAAGTTTTCTACTCCCATTAAGAGTTACAGACTGGGAAACCCACCGGGGCAGCTCTACCCTGCCCTACAGACTCAATGGGAGTGAATTTTGTTTGGATATCTCCTCTGAGTGGTGCAAAAGGTTAACATGTTCAAAGGCTAACTGAAAGTCAGAGGTACAAATTACCCAGAGACTGCAGGACAAAGGCCTGGCCATTGTACTTCAGAAAAGCCAGCCATGGGAAGCCTCCTGGAGCCTGGCTCTCTTCTGATACCTGTGGGGTCGCTGTAAGTCAGAACCACCTTGGCAGCAACTGTGCTGCTGGGATAGCTTTAGCAATCTGGTGGATTGCTCGATATCA